TTTAGGTAAACTCATCACTATTCTGCCTGGATGTTTAGTCACTCTTCCTGGCAGATTTTGTAGAGTTTATTCAAACTGAAATACTTAAAAAAAATGTATTCTCATTTGGGTTGAGGTTATTCCATAAGTCTAATGTTAGCCTACTTTAGCTATTCTAAACCAAGTTTTAAGTTTGTTAAAACACCCAGTTGTGTCCAAGTCTGTGTGTTTCAGCTTTTGATTGAGGGAGAATTTGCCGATTTAGAGGCAGTTCTCATTCCTCATTCCTTTTAGTTTCTGCACCACTAGCAGCAAAGTTGACTTACAGCATGATACTGCCATCACCATGTTTGACAGTCGGTGATGGCAAACATGGTGATCATGGTTTTCTAATGAAAACCATGATCAAACGTATGGTGTAGTAAAACTTTTCCTAAAAGTATTTTATTACAAAAGCATTACTCAAGTTAATGTAACTGAGTACATGTAGCTAGTTACCACCCACCTCAGATGGTGACACAACCAAACAATTTGTCATTGAATACAAGTGGGGGAAAAAACTCACAGTCTTTGTTTCTGTGGTTGTTTAGCATCGGCTTCACATCTATTGACTTGTGGATTTTAAAGGGCCCAAATGCAGACAGGGGCAGGACCACAAGGACTATGATTCTGAGCAAAACTGTACGTGTTTAGTCTTAAAGGACAAGTATTATTGCAACTATGCACAAGATGAGTTACATGTACAAAACCGAAATTCATTGTTGCATCAAGAACTGGGTTTTCCTTATTGTCAAAAAGACAATAAGAGATGAATAAACTACAAACTGATTCATCTCTTGAATTCATATTTATTTACGTATTAAGTAGCGCTGGAACCTTTGGTTGGTTCAGATTTGATCTTATGTGTTCTTTAATCTGCTCTAACCTGTCTAATATCAATTGCAGACTTTTGAATTCGAACTCCCTAACGACTGTAAGAGACGATGCCTTCTCGGGCCTTCCACATCTGGAGTACCTGTGAGTTGTTGTGTTACTAAATTCTTTGTTTATTAAAAATAAAAAAAAGACCAAACATGTTGGCATTTGGACCACCGATATGTCTTAAAATATAAAACATAAAATTATATTTTGGTATTAATCTTAATCAGAAAAGCAGCACAAATGGTAACTCTGGAGGAGCTGCAGATCTCCACAGCTCAGATGGGAGAATTTGTCAACATGGCAACGATTAATTGTGCATTCCTCATGCCTATTCGCTATGAAAGTATGGCAAGAAAGAAGTCATTATTGAAAGAAAGCCGTTACAAATATCAGTTTGTCGCCTTCCTAAAGTAATGGTCATAATAATTTTTAATAATATTTTTTGTAGATTACCACAAATCATGCAGGAGACAGAAAACACTTTTAAGAAAGTCAGATGAGACTAAAACTGAACTGTTTTACCTGCATGCAAAATATGATTTGTGGTGACTTTCAAACTATTTTTTGTTTTGTAGAAAAATGTAAAATCGTGAATCATTTTCCGTCCACCTAACAGTTGTTAGGTGATACTTGTTTTGATCTATCACTTCAACAAAATACATGTCTAATAATCTCAAACCGTAATCACTGCAACTCATATTTTTGTTTATGACTAATCCACAGGTTCATTGAGAGCAACAAGCTGGAGACGACATCTAAATATACCTTCAGAGGACTCAGGGACTTGACTCACTTGTATGTCCCGCAGTTGATTAAAAACCTTTTGTGTTTTTGCAATTTCTCCTTGAATATGCTGCATGTTCACTCACTGGTGATGTTTTTCAGGTCTCTGGCAAACAACAACATTAAATCCTTACCCAGGGACGTTTTCATTGACCTGGACTCACTGATAGAGCTGTAAGTTCACCACAGGTTTGTAAAAATGCTCTTCTTTGGTCAGAGTTTTCTTCTGCAACCATCCCGCACTGGATCTGCCCTGCAGGGACTTGCGAGGCAACGCCTTTGAGTGCGACTGCAGAGCCAAATGGCTCATGATGTGGCTGAAGAGCACCAACTCCACGGTGTCGGATGTCGTGTGTGCCGGACCGGACGACATGAAGGGCAAGCGCCTCAATGACATGAACAGCCTGCACAACGAGTGCATATCGACGGGTGAGTAACCGCCTGAGTCAGCTTCACTGCTGACGTCGGCGTTGGTCGGATCAGCAGCGTCATTCTAGGCAAAAATATTCCCCTCATGATTTCACCTTTCCGTAGATTTTGTCCTTCACCAGTCCGTGGCCTCCGAGTCTCTGTCAGTTGATACGTTCAGCTTCAAGAATGATGTCTATGTGACTATTGCTGCTCCCAGCTCAGACAGCTGCATGGTTTTACAGTGGGACCACATTGAGATGAACTTCAGGACGTATGATAACATCACCGGTAAGGAAATCCCTTCACCCTGCATCCAGTGAAGTGTTGAAACATTATCAGAAGTTTATGTCTTACGTGCAGTAGATGCATCTCATTTTGTATAAATACTTTTATATCAGAGTTGCATACTCTGATATAAACATATGCAAAACGTTTCTACATGCATGTTTTGTTCTCAGAAAGTTTCCCATGGGAAGATCATAAGTGGGGCATCTCTTTCCATGTTGCATTCCAAATATATTTACATCCCAACATATGTTTCACATTTTCTCAAATTACAACCACGTTTTATCGGGGCTATAAGTGACAGACCAACAACATGTAATGCAGAATTACTAGGTAGGAGAATAATGACAACATCTTCAAAAATCTTTATTCTAAAGTTTTTTTTAGTATGTTGCAACCCAAAATAGTACAAGCTCAGTCAGCTGTAGAGCATCTGTGAATATCAATTTTTGAGCCTCGCCACAGATTCTCAGGGGTATCAGGTTAAAAGGGCTGAATACAAATGTGAGTTTATTTATGAATAAAGTTGAATCCAGGTTTCATTTTCTTTTCACTTCAGTTATACACTCCACTGTACTGATATATCAATGTAAGATCCTGATGAGATACTTTGAAGTTTGCCTTTGATGGGTATGAACATTTATCTCAATTTCCAGTGCAAATCCTTATGTGTTTTTCGGCAAAAAGAAAGTCATCTGATGCAAATGTGACAACAGTTTTAAAGTTCCGTTGCATTGTGGGATGCAGTGGAGTAATTTTGTAAACCATAAAGTCCATTTGTAGCAACAGGTTTTAGCTAATTTGGAATTTTACAAGTTAGTTACAAGTTAACAATTCATAAACTGATTTGGATCGAAGCAAACAAAGTACAGGTGTGAAAATGTTCTTAGCTAAGCCATTAGCTTCAGCTTAAGGATCAAATAAGCTTAGATTAATACAAAGGAGTGTAGCTTTGAGAGTTAGCTGCTGCATGTCGAATGTTGCAAGTTAAACCATCATTTTAAGGAAACCATCATTTTAAGTTTGAGTTTAAATGTTGTGTTGTACCTGTGTTCCTCTGTTTGTAGGTCAGTCCATTGTTGGTTGCAAGTCAGTAATCATCCAGGAAGAGGTTTATGTCATTGTGGCTCAGCTGTTTGGTGGTTCCCACATTTACAAGTTTGATGACGACCAAAGCAGGTTCAACAAGTTCCAGGACACTGAAGTGTCCAAGATCTCCAAACCCAATGACATCGAGGCTTTTCAGATCGGAGCAGACTGGTTCTTTGTCATCGCAGACAGCTCCAAAGCTGGCTTGTCAACCCTCTACAAGTGGAACGATAACGGATTTTACTCATACCAGTCCCTGCACGAGTGGTTCCGTGACACAGACGCAGAGTTCCTGAACCTCGATGGGAAGGCTCACCTAATCTTGGCAAGTCGCTCGCAGGTTCCAGTGATCTACCAGTGGAGCCGTAGCAACCAGAAGTTCATCCTGCAGGGTGATATCCCCAACATGGAGGACGTGGTAGCTGTGAAACACTTCCGGATCAAAGAGGAGCTCTATCTTTCCATGACCCGCTACATTGGTGACTCCAAGGTCCTAAAGTGGGGGCCCAAACAGTTTTCAGAGATCCAGGCTGTACCGTCCCGAGGCTCCATGATCCTGCAACCATTCACATTCAAGGACCGCTACTACCTGGCTCTGGGAAGTGACTATACGTTCTCGCAAATCTACCTGTGGGACGACGAGAAGAAAATCTTCGACCGCTTCAAGGAAGTGTACATCCAGGCACCGCGCTCATTCACCGTGGTCTCCACTGACCGCAGGGACTTTATATTTTCATCCAGCTTCAAGGGAAACACACAGATCTTTGAACACATCATTATTGACCTGACCTTGTGAGGGGCCGTGCCTTATTGTCTCTCCTATAATCATTTGTCTTCCGTTCAAGAGATATATGAATAAAACAAAGGAAAAAGACTTGAAGAAAAGGGTAAATTCCAATAAATACATCGTCATAACTCATATTAAAGCTTGGTGAGGTATTGACTTGTTGCTAAGATGCCCTTCTGGATTCATCCAGAGCTAAAATGACTCTAAAAACCTTTTCTTTCGCTTTTATTTTTGCCAGCTGAGGACACAGTAGATATGTTTTCCTCTTTCTTCAGGCCTTCATAGCCTGTGATGGACATTATACTGTCCCTTCAGAGCAGACCTACTGATGGGCTAACAGTGCCTCCTCGTGGCCGTGATGAAGCATCACACCTTTTGTTCCTTACAGGGAATGTCTCAAAAGCACAAACCTTTAACTATCATAGAATCTTAGAATGTAGCTGTATAGTGGAAATGTTACTGTAGGTGCTATTGATTGTACACAGAAATTTACTAAAAAGATAATAAATGGTTGTTTTGAGAGGTAATATTCAGTTCAGGATATATCTGATTCCACTTCAGATCAATTTACTTGGGGGAGACAAAGTTCTCCAGGGTTTGTGTGCTGATCAGGTAAATTGAACATATTTTCAATTCTAAACAAAAAAAAAGTTTTTTGGTTTGTAAGGTAAGATTTTTTTTTGAAGCATCTGAAAGAAAAAAAAATGTGTAAATAAGTCCAGTGAAACTAAGAGCCTTTCTTTTCTTTTCTTTTTCAGTCTTAAAAAAAATATTGACTCCTTACCAGGTGTACATATAATCAGGACTCCGATGCCACTACCTGATCTTAACAGTTCTTTGCACTTACTAACAAAAATCAGTTGATTCAGCCTGCAAGAGCATGACATTTAAAAAGTCAACTTATTTTTAGACAAACCTGACAAAGACTTCAAATGCTTTTGATAAGATGAATGGCATTGCAAGTAAATAAAAAAATATATATATGCAAGCTTTGTAATTCTTTAGTGAGATCTAGTTTGAAGCTTATTGAATGTTTCTGTTAAAAACTGCTGTACATTCATTCAGTTGAGTGATGAAATAAAAGTGAAAAGATATTGTAAAGATGTGTGGGAAAAATATTTTCTGTCAGCTTACACTATCTTTAAGGAGAATTATTATACTTAGTGGAAAAGTTAAAAATATGCATAAAATGGCATCTCAGTTGTTTAAAACCTCTTATTGTGGAAAGATCCACCAGGAAGCTTCATCCAAATCCAGACATTAGAATGATTAAATAAGTCTAAAACCATTAGAACAAAACAAATTTCAGTTTTTGATTTTATTATGGGAATCTGAGTAATCGGGGTTAGAGTTACTTTATTGTAAATGGTCGTTTCGAAAAGTAAAAATATTCAGTTCAGTACATACAGTTGAAACCAAAAGTTTACATGCACATTTTTTCTCACTACTTCACATAAATGACAAGACAAAGTGATAATTTTCAAGAAAAATACGTGATTTATTTTCATTGTCCCAGAGCAAAAATTCTAAATAGAAAACACAGCGATACATAATTCATAAAAAAAAGTTAAAATACTGAAAAAACTTCAATTGTGAACAGTAAACCAACCCAGTGAAGGCAAAGTGAAAGATTTAAGAGAAAATAAGATACACAATCAAACATGGCAAAACTCAAAACTATTGTCTCAAACTACAAATGTGAAATCTAGAAATCTACCTCTTTGGCTGAATCAGTCCGATGGGAAAAACAAAACCAAAAAAATAAAATAAATAAAAATACCACACTGAAAGCTTATCACATAAGGCAAACAATGGCATATTCAAAATAATCAGAGAAACACTTTAAATGTTTACAGCGTGCAACATTTTTGCAACATTGTTTTTTTTAACCCATTAAGATTAGGACCCTATAACAGATACAAGGTGGTACAAGAGAATCATTTAAAAATATATGTTCAAATAAGGTTGCTTTATTTTTCTAATTTTGTATAAGCAGACATATAATGAAGAGAAGAAAAATAGATTAAATCCTATAAAGTAGATCTTTTAGTTTAGTACTGCATTGAAAATATAAAACTGGTAAAATCCCAAACATTTCTACATTATGAAGAAATCAATTAATAAAAACTAATTATTGATGCTTAACATGATATATAAAATATAATCTTTGGTTTCAACATATCTCATTTCTGTACAGTAATGATATTATAATGAAGGCTTTATCTAGTTCATGTTGGGAAAGAAACAAGGCATGTTGTAAAATTAATTAAAAATCAGCAGCAGACAAGTCTGAAGTACAGATAAATATGATCCTGATAATCACCATATGCAAAGTCTTCACAGATACATAAAAAACACTTAGTATGTTACGCCCATTTTAAAAATCAAACCTCATTTACACATTAATGAGGTTTTCCAATGCATTTGGGTTTGTAAGAACATGTTCGAAGCTAATCAAGTAAAGGATTGTTACATAACATAATAACTGCATTGATAATATTGTATTATTAATAATACAATTAATAAACTAAATGACCTGCATAAGATTCAGTCATTTCTTTGTGTTTTTAAGCCTCTCTGAATTTGAATTCAATCCAAGTTACTGGGTTGAGACTCCTGAACTGGAACCCCCAGCTGCTCCTCGATGTTTGGGGAAGGCATCACAAACATGCTGCGAGAGTCTTCACTCTGAAACATTTCATTCAGTGGGATCTGCTGATTCCACCCTTTGTCTTTAGCGCACTTGAAGACACATCCAAACAGATCAGGAAATAATTCAAGGACGTCAGTTTTGGAAGCATCTTCAACACTGTGAACATGGAGAAAATTTAACTGAGTAAATATGTTTATGCTGTTTATGTTCTTGTTCTGACAACTTTGTGTTTATGCTGCAGCTCCTGCTACTATTATACAACATCAACCAATGTCTGAACCATCAGTGCATAACGTCACTCGTATATGCAAATGGAAAACAAAACTGACACAAAAGACAAAGCGGATCTTTACTAATTTAATGAGTCTTTGCACCTAAAATGCAAGTCTAGAGAACATTTGTATCAGCTTAACTTACTAGTGCTCATGCATATTGCGTATGAAACGCAGCAATCCCAGAATGTTGTCAGGGTAGGATTTTTTCTTACCATCCATCTTTTGAACCAGCTCTTGTGGAAACTCAAGAAAGAAAAGAAGGAAAAGGAAAAATGGCACCAATTTTCTTTCTTTACATGGATTTTTTAATCACAAATTTGCACATTCTCAAATCAGAACATGCAACATAGACATAGTGAAAAAATATCTACATTTACTGAGGTACTGGTTTCCCAGGGCAGTTGATATTTATGATATCAAGTTTAGTACTTAAACATTGTTTCTGTTATCAGAAACAGCCACATTCATTAGATAGAAAACTCACTATAGCTTATAGTCCAGTTAGTCATGTCATAGATATGACTTACTAGAAATATTGAGATATTTTTCTTTGTACAGCACTCACCTTTTCCTTCCACTGAGAGAAGGTTCCATGATCTGCATATCTTTCAAGCGAGTCTATAAGTTCCTGTTCTGCATTTTGATATTTTGCCACTTCCTCTCTGTTACCAACTTTTTTCAGGTATTCAATTTTTCTGTAAAGAGACATAAAAATATTTTTAATTAAGTGTTAAAACGTGTGTGGAATGAAAGAAAAGAGCAAAGCGGATATGATAATATAGCAGAGAGCTTCATCGTGTAAACAAGTTCTGATTGCATAATATCACAATTTAGGTAACATTTAGAAAAAGCAAAAGTGAAAACAGAGTATATGCTGAATTTTACTTATAATGTATAAGAATGAATAAACAGATTTGTGTTGTAGTCTTACTTCACATATGGCCAGAAGAAGGGGTGACTCAGGCATTGTTCAACTCTCGGTCTGTCTATTGGTTCTTTGTTGATCATCCATTCAATGAGATCTTTAGCCACAACATCCTGAACATCATCCAAACTGTATTTCCCTTCGTCAATGTTTGCTTCCAGCAGAAAGGATTTGCCGACGTTGAATGGGTGTTTTCCTCCAGACAGGATATAATACATCAGCATCCCTGCAACCTTAAAAGGAAACAAAACATTATAATTTTTGGTAGCACTGTATTTGACGTGGTGTGTATAAGGCTGACATGACACTGTCATAATCATGACGTAACACCTGTCATGAACACTAAGGAGTCTTTATGAAAGTCTATGACTGTTGTCATGACGTGTCGTGCAGTAAATTAATGCGAAGTTGCTTTAAAAGTTGTATTCAAAGGCCATTAAAAGTGCCAACTTTGCATAATTTTGTAAATAATTATAATTTAATGCAAAGTTGGAACTTTTAATGGACTTTCAACACAACTTTTAGAGCAACTTTGTATTGAAAGTTGTTCTATGACCCTGTAAAATAAAGTGTTACCAGTTTTTTTTTTTTGTCAATAGAGAAGTAAGTGTTGCAGGAAAATTCACCTGTACATCAGTGGTTGACTTGTACGACACAATGCACCCCTCCTCCAGAGTCTCTCTGGCTTTCCAGCACTTTGTTCCTGCAGCTACTGTTTGGTGCGTTGTTTGGTCTTTGGGTAAGCGTCGACTGATCCCAAAATCAGCCAATCTTGATTTCCCCATAACATCTGGAGGACAAATCATGAAAAGAGAGTGGTGTGGAAGGTTTTAGTTTATTCTAAAGATTAAAACAAAGTCATATTCTTACAGGGAACTTTAACGTAATGTTCAGCTACAGGAAATGAATAGTGAGATGATAATGTATATTTTCTTTTTATAATAATGAGGGTCCATCTGAAAATATTGTAGGGGTTATGGGGTAGGAGTTCATAAGTTTCTTAATTCTTCCTATTTCCTTTTCAACCATGTTAAAATTATTGTGGTACAAAAATATTTGTCTTTTGCATTCCTTGTTCAGGTGTGTGATTTTATACTTTTCATGTTTTAAATAAACCAGTAAAATGGTATCCTGTAGAATTAGTATTCTAACTTGATAAATGTCTACTTATATTATTTGCAGACCTACAGCATTGTCCTATTTATTGGTTGCTATTATTACAAAGACCAAAAAATAATAACCAATATAAACAAAGAACAACAGTCCAGACTACTCAACATTGTTATATTATGTCAATATGAGAAACAATATTGAAATATTGTATGCCAATATGAGCATTATAAAGATACAATTTTGAATGTTCTTACCAATTAAAACATTTTGTGGCTTTAAATCACGATGGAGAATCTGAGGATTTTGACAGTGAAGCACCTTTAAACTTTCAAGAAGCTCTAAGACGAGTTTCTTTCTCTGGAGGGCATCAATACCACCAGCATTGATATGTTCTTCCAAAGTGTACTCGCAAAGCTGGAGAGCAAGATATCCAAAATTTTCATCCTCTGCATGATCAATGTATCGAACAATAGAATGATGATCTAGTTCTGGCAGTCGAAGGATTCCTTCCTCATTCTTCAGAGTTTCATAGTTGCTTTTAGACATTCTTTTAATTGCAACTTCTGTGCCATCATATCTCAGTCCGAGGAATACTTCAGTTCCATCACTTCCCTTTGCTATGTGAAATTCTTTATTATTTACATAAATAATGCCTTGTATTCTTGTCACTTTGCTGTCATCAATGCTTACGAGTTTTTTAAGCTTGTCATTCCACCTTTTGCTGATTGGAAGCCTTTTTCTTAATGGTGATGCTTTGGTTGGACTGTCATTAAATGGCCTTACATTTGAGAGTAACTTTGCTACAGCAGGTATTTCTGCATCAGAAGCAGTTGTATCATCACCACAGCTTGGGTCTTCTTTTTCGTCTTTCTTTGTCTTCTTCTTCTTTTTCTTCTTTTTTTTGGATTTAGCCACAATAGAGCTTTCATCACATTCAGTCTGTGGGTTGTCTAAAAATTTTTTTAGACGTTTTAGTCCTTCTTTTAGTTTGTCATTCATTTTGGTGTCTGCGTATATCAGTATGTCCTCAGGTACTGATTTTATCAAGCCTGACTGAAAGATCTTAGCTGAGAGCAGGTTTGCAAATATGCCATATGTATAGGCCCTGATATCATGGGAGTACTGCTCATCTACAAAAGGACAGACTGTTTTGCTCAGTGTTTCAATAACGTCTGATTCCCAGCTGTTGATGTCCTTTGTTTTCTGTGTTATCACATAAATTGTTGGGAGAACAGCCTCCCAAATTTCAAGTCCTGCTTGCGTTTCCAGAACAGCCTCCCATGTTGTATGTCTCTCTTTTAGATGAAGCTGATCCAGCAGTTTGGAAAGGATGGCCTTTGCTTGTTCATTTGGTATGTCGTCCATTGTGCAGAAAACTGCATTTAACGTATCAACTACTGATCTCACTGATCCTTTTGGGATATTTTGTAAACGTCTAATTGCACTTGATACATATCGATTTAAATTATTCATTTCCTTAAGCCAATGAATACTTCTCCCTTTATAGTCTTCTACCTTCTTCTTCGCTTCTGCATTCTGAAGTGCATTTCTGCACGTCACATTGAACAGCACTTCAATCATGGTCAAATGGCTGTCAGGATTCTCCCGTAACATATGCTTATGAAAATCTTTGAAAACCTTTTCTGATGTTTCCTGTCCCACAGCAATTTCAACATCCAAAAAATAACAGATTTTGGAGCAAAAAACATTTCCTTTAGATCCCAAATTATGAATAATCCGAGCTATGATTTTGTTGGTTTTCAGTCTGTCGAGGTGTTCTGGTGGTAACAACAACACCTTTGCTTTAGCAGAGAGGAGCATTCCGACAACATCTTCTCTTTCATTACTGGCAGCAGTTTGTAGTGGTGTAGGCATCACAATTTCCCCGGGTCTCCACCCATTTGGATCTGCTTTTGCTTCAAGAAGTTTTTCTACGAAACCAATTGGAGCTTTGGCTAGTGAGACATAATGCAAAGGTGTCCACCTATTGGTCGAGGCACGATTTGGGTCTGAACCTTGTTTTATAAGGTATTTACACAAACGCATGTTATGGTTTACAACAGCAGCAGTCAGAGGGGTTACATTATCATTTAGTTTACTGTATGGGTAAAGAGCATTTATAGGGTTTTCTCGCAGTAACTTTTTAAGATTTGTTAAGTCGTCCTCTTCAATACATTTTATCACTGGATGTTTCACTGGTAACATTTGTGCGACCTGCTTGATATTATCCATGTTTGTGCTCCAGATAACCTGTAGAAAAGAGACAGCCGTTATAAACGTGTATTATGTAGTTAAAGTTACATTTTCATGTGTGCAATAGAGACACAAAGACATCTAAACACTGACAAAGTGTCAAGATTTTCCACATAGAAATAAAAGCTGTATAAAAATAGCAATTAAACACAAAAACAAGAAACTATAAGAATCATTTCACCTATAAGTTAAATCATAATAATTAATGATAACAAAGTCCATATTATTACAAAAGTAGCCTAATATTGCTCTCAGTCATTTTATAATTTGTATGTTTTGAATAATTCACCAATGCTTACCAAGCAGTCTGGGAAAAATGTGTTTGCCTCCAGTGACACAGCACACCAACACACCCAGTTTCTATGGCTATGTTCATACAACAGGCAAGTGCAACCCAAATCCAAATTTCTGCCCCTATGTTACCCTTATACAACTTTTCCATTGAGTGTTTACAGCCGTGAAAATATGTAATTTTCACACATTTGGCAGCATCTCCCTGCAGATTCACTTACCCTAACCCTACGCCTACTCTTTTTTCCAGCACATTGTCTCTCTGGGTTTCGATTCTGCCGTCTCCGGATGTTCTTGTTGTACGGCAGGCCGTTTTAACATAAAATCGGTTTTGTTTGATTATCCATTATATTCTAGATATCTAAAAATGCATTTTGACATAACCGGATTCGTCATTTGAAGGGTGACACTAACATGATTATAATTAGTTAAAATTACATTTTTAGATATCTGGATTAATGATTGCCCGTAAGCTTCTGTGTGCTGCCTCTGACAATTTCCGTTGTCCTGCACAAAATAGCCACAACAGCTCAGCATTATGGGCTATGTGGAGAATGAAAAAGTTTGTGAACTTGAAGACATGCTTCAGAAGTCTGTAAAGAGTCTCAAATTTATTATCTTCCGACAAACACAATGCACTTAAAAAAAAAGGCTAAATGTGCAACTATTAACCCATTCCAAAGCGATGCCTTTTTAAAAAATCTTTAAAATTTTATTTAAATCCATCCATTCATTCATTATCTTACACACTTATCCCTAGGACGCTGGTGCCAATCTCCATCACAGGTCAACACAGAGGCAGACAGGACAAACAATCATGCATGCACAGACCCACAATAAGGGAGAATTTAGAGAGACCAATCAACCTCACAGTCATGTCTTTGGACTGTGGGAGGAAGCTGGAGAAACCACCGCTGTATGCACGGGGAGAACACGCAAACTCCATGCAGAAAAACCTCGGTCTGGGATTCAAACCCAGGACCTTCTTGCTGCAAGACAGAAGTAATACCAACTGCAGCACTGTGCAGGCAATTTTTTACAATTTTTTTTTTTTTTTTAAGATTAAAAAAATCTTTACATTTATTTTAAATCTTAAATTAGTATTCTGCCCTGACAGAATACTAATTACATCTTGACTAGGTATCAGTAATGTCATTCTGCTAGTCATAAACCAGTTTCTGAAATCTGTAACGTAAGTGTGGTGAAACCAATTTTATGATAAATTGGTCTGCCATACCGGCACTGACGTAACAAAACCGAGCTGCACGCAAGAAACGTGATTCCCCCAGCTCAACGTCGGGAAATGATCGAAAAACTTGTATAGACCTTTGTAGGATCACATGTACTGACCCAAAAGTGCACTGGCCTTCCATGTAAAATGCCCTGCATGCTAAGCCGTCAAACATCAAACATCCAGCGTAGTATTACTACTACTAATAAGAACTATAATATTATACAAAATAGTAAAACATTATGTGTTACTTCGAAAAATCTTATACCAGAAGGCAAAAATGAGATGTGGTTTTCCATGTAACCGACTTTAGTAAACATGTCATGATTTTACTCGGCAACATTTCAAATAAGATCGTGAAAAACAACTTACACGGGGCCGTCTTCATCTGTCCCTCTGGCTTCTTGTATAATAGATTCAACTCGGTATTCTGTTCTGTGTGCTTGCTCCACCCTTTTGGCATCCGGACGTAACGTTATAAATAACACCCACATTCTTTTACACAAACTGAGGACTTTGTGTTTACATTTATGCCTAAACCTGACATTTTTTCCTAACCATAACTCAGCTCTATTCCCAGCATTTTAACCAAACTTCACACCATCTTTAAATCTAAATAGTAGAAGACAGCAGGAAAAAAAAAGTGAGGATGGAACCCCATACTTTTGCAAATGTTAATATTGCGAATGTGGTCCTCTACAGGTCTTGCATGAATAAAGAGGACAATTATAACTCCGTCTCGCGGTCCACGTCCTACCCTATTTCCCCCTGATGATAAGGTTCTATTTGCTCATTTTACGTTACATTTAACGATAACTTTACCGACACCCCACACTAAAAAAAATTGCTCTTAAGAAATCTCCCTGTTTACTGTACCCCCAGTAATGAAAATGAATTTCCTCCCTTGAGCGAAGCGTCATTTTATTTTGACGGTTCTACCGGAAGTGGTTTCATTTTGACAGCTGTGGCAAAAAAGTGACGTTGCACGATAAACAAACGAAGGAGGAGGCGAGTGAGCGGTGTTCATCCTGTATCCTGACATTTCTACATTTTACAATAATGCAGTCTTCTAAGAGGAGTGAGAGCGACTGGCAGGGACTGGTCAGCGAGGTAAGAGGACCGATAAACACCGAGAACCGCTGCTTCTCAGACGGGCGGCTTTAACAGATGCTCCTCTTGTCCATATGGAACCAGCAGGTGTGTTTGATGAACAGAGGTCATAAACTCGTTACCGCCACATAGACTCACCCGCTAAGGTCTTCACCAAGGCTTTTAGCTATGGCTCAAAAAGGCAAATATTTAAAGCCCATATAGCATCCGACAAGGTGTGGGAACGGACGGAGCAGCTAATTACAGGTGAAACACACCTGTAGGCCTACCTAGTTATCAGGATGTTTGCTTGAAATTGCTACCAATTTCTGTTGCTCAAACACACAAAAAAAAACTCAATAAGATATTATAGTTTGTACTTATTAGCTTAAGGGTTATGAATACTATTGTAAAGCACTTTACAGGTCATAAAATTAATACTTCTGCACATTCAGCTTCAGCGGCAATTTGGTTATAAGCAAGATAAGGGTTCCTCTACTCTGTTGTAGCTCTGGTAAAGTTATTATTCCTATTTTTTGTTGTTTTTATTAAGTTCACTCCCACCCGTAAATTATCAGTGCTCCTAGAATGATGAACTGGTATTGCACTGTATTACATTTCGTGCATCTGCATAGAAATTCCAAAGATGGCACATTTTGATATAACATAGCATTTTATAATCGATTTGCCCAGAGAGTTATCCAAGCAGCAGGCACACATTTAAGTTCAACAATGCAATTCCCATCTTTTGTCAGGCCTGTGCAGGAATTTTTTTCATTAGTTTCCAAAAACATGACTCTTTAGATGTTTCTCAATTATTGCCTGTGGGACTGAACAATAATCAGGAAAACAACCAATTGCAAACTTTTACTTTTTGTTTGCATTATTATTCATAACAATGTCCCACAAATTTGATACTCTCATTTGTATTAAAGTATTTCACACAGTGATATTGCAATAATGACTGAATTCCAATATATAACACAGCTAGTTTTTTAGGTCGTCTTCTTTTCCATTTATTAGTCTATGTTTTCATATTTGAGCAGATATGTTACTGTTGCTGACATTCAAAAGAAACAAAACCGTGATCTTTTTAGGATTTATTGAAACAATGTAATATTGGTTTAGTTCAGGTTTTCAATAATCCATGTAACAAACGTTTCATATTAAACTCATTCTTCTTCAGCCCACACAAACTATTGGGCCCAAAGTTATGTCACTTCCTGAATCGTCAATATATAAGCATAATATTGGAATCATTTCAAGAGATGATGTGGCGTTTTCCAAGTTAAATAATCTGTTTTGATATCATTTTTTAAAAATGTTGCAGATATTCCTTATTTTAGCTTAATTGTTGTCACAGAACTAGAACTCTATAAAAAATGAAGTTCGAGAGACTATAGGAGACGACTTGAAAGCCAGGAAGACTTGCCAAGACTAATTCTAATTATTATAAGAAAGTCTGGCTGCTTGTTAAGCAAAATAAAAAATAAAAATAAAACGTCGACCTAGACATAACTTGAAACCTAATCCATTCTTAATGCATTTTGTAACGCGTCTTCACTGTTCTCTGTTCACTCCATGTTTCAGTTCCTGGTGTGTAAACGCAAGTTGGAGAGTAAAAAGGAGGCGCTGCTCATCCTGTCCAAAGAGCTGGACACATGCCAACAGGAGAGAGACCAGTACAAGCTGATGGCCAACCAGCTGAGAGAGCGCCACCAGGGACTGAAGAAGAAGTACAGGGAACTTATTGTGAGTGTTCAACATGCAGGAAACAAAATAGAACTGGATAGAAACATAATGTATATTTTACTTCTGATTTTAAGGACATTGATAAATGCATATCTGACCACTTTCTCTTGTTGTTGTGGCATTTAGTAAATAAAAATAATGTTGGTAATTCTAACTGGCCTAAAATGTAGGACGTTTGGTCTGATTTAGCTTTGGACAGTGAGAAAGAAGGTGTGTGTCTTTTAATTTACTGTATGTAAACTTCTGATTTCAACTGTAAATTTTTCTCGTTTCAGGATGGGGATCCTTCTTTGCCACCAGAAAAACGTAATCAGGTGAGTTGCTGTTCACAACAAAGATGATCAAATATCTAATTTAAACCAGGCCAACTTCTCATTGTTTAACTTTACTTATCAATACTGATTATAGTTATGTTACATAGGACAAAAAAACTCTTACACAACAATGTTTTGGTCAACTTTATTGCCATCTCATTTTCTGGCAATACTTTTTTGTTAGATCTTAATGAGGAAAGCATTTATATCCCCCTTGAAGGTTTTATTAGTGTATCTGCAAGCTTTTGTGAGGAATCAAGTGGCTTTGCGTGGATTCACTTTCCCCCTCTCCTCCTTCCTCAGGTGAACCTGGGTCAGCTGTTGAGGGACTCCAGGGAACGAGTGAGGAAGCTCACTGAGGAGGTGAAGGACCTCAATCAGAGGCTGGCTGAGGCCCAGGGGGACAACAAGGTGCTCTCACAAAGATCCACTGAAAGAAAAACACATATTTTTGAAGGAATTGAACTTAATGTCTTCTTCTTGCAGCTGCTGAGGATGACCATCACTCGACAGAGGCTGGGAGACGAAGAGGTGGGGGTCCGCCACTTTCCTGCACATGAACGAGAGGACTTGGTTTCTCAGCTAGAAAGAGCAGGGCGACAGGTGACATGTTTTATCTCATGTTACTTAAACAAAATACATTATTTTTAAAAGTTTTCTATGCTTGTATGTTGCTATAAGCTCTATTGCAACACCATACAAAAGATGTTAAATCAAATTTATATTGACTGCAAGTTAAATTGGTAGACTTTGTCAAACCCTGCTTTTATTTTTTTTTCGCTAATGGTCTCATGCTGATTTTTATAAAATATTAAAGATTGTGACCACTGATCAAACAAAAACAACTGAGACTCCTTGCTGGTAGATATTGTGTATTGGTGTCATATAAGACACTTTTTCTTTGCCTCCTCCACAGCCATTCTCCTGAATTTTTCCTCTGCAGTCCTGACATTCAGGATGACTTATCATTATTTGGCTATAAATACGCAAGAAAAAAATTAATTTGACCGCTAGAGGTTAACGTTTTCTGTCAAATGACTCCAAGACTACAATTGTAGTGCTGGTAAATTCATAATGTGAGGCTTCTCATTTCCTGAATAATGAAAGCGACTTGTGAAGTCTCAACAAGCTGTACGTCACAGAAACCTTTGACCTTGTCACGTGTTTGTAGATGGAGGAGATGGAGCACACCATAAAAGCCTTGACGGACGAGTTGCAGGACGTTAAAGCAGAACGCATCGTTTTCAGGGAGAAGGCTGACCGGCTGAATGTTGAACTGAACCACATTTTAGGGAACCATGAGTCGCGCATCATTGATGTGGATGCACTCTGCATGGAAAACAGGTGAATAGAAAACGCTGTGCATCTTTTATTAAGTGGTTTCCACTGTAGGCTTGTAACGGTGAGGTTCTCAGTTTGAACCCCAGCTTTGGGCCTTTTTGCATGGAGTTTTCATGTTCTACCTGCAAATGTGTGGGTTCTGTCCAGGTACAGTCCAAAAACATGAGATGTCAAAGGCTCCAAAAAGCATGTAGCTTTTTTTATGGATGTAAACTGAAATCATAGACCACTGTGCAAAAGTTTACTGTTTTCAAAGCAAAGTATAAACACATTAGGGATGATTCAAAACCTTGGCACATTAATGTACCTGAACTTTATTATTTCATGTATCGCCTTCTGCCTTGTTCAGAATTACCATTTTCCAGAACTTAGAACTGTCACGTCTTGCATATAAAAAGCCTCTAGCCATCTGTGCTTTGACGCTGATCGCATTTTTAATCGCTTTCACGTTAGGTATTTACACGACCGGCTCTCGCAACTTCAGGAGGAGGTGAACCTGCTCAAATCAAACATCATGAAGTACAAGGTAACTGCTTCTGTTCCAGGGTTAATGCTACAACAGTTTTTTAAATCTCCGAAGCCCACAGGATTTCCTTTTTTGTTTGTTTTTGTTTTTTTATGAAAGAAGCCGCATAAACTCAAATCATCCATCAAGCTTTGTTGTCTGGTTTCCTCTCCACAGACGGCCCTCGAGAGGAGGAAAAACTCCAGCGCATATGGGAGATCAAACAGCGTTCCCCTTACAGGAGTGCTGTCAGCCAAACAAGGTGAAAACACCAACTGTTGAGCTCACGTTAAACATAAAATACAGAGCCGTTCATCTGGAAAGCGTAAAAAAATGAAAAAGCTGGCGAGACTGTGCCTGTCACCTCGGTTTTATCTCCCAAATTTGATTAGATATCTTCATTGTCATCAGTAAAAGAAACTAGTTTTCCCGTCTCAAGCTGTGGTTTTTACTAAATTATTTAATAACCTATGTTTTGCCGATCCTTCAAGCCACCATCCGGACACCAACTGTGTTTTTAATTGTATTCTCAGTGGTGCAGAGTGCCACTGGCAGGGAAATGAGGCTGCCATGATGACTGACAGTCACTGGCAGAAGCAGCACAGTGGGTTCTGGAGTTAAAGTTAGGGAGGTGTCACCTAGCAGACAGCTGTTTCTAACACTCCGTCTCTGTCTTACTCTTGTCACGCTGTTTCCTCCCCCTCTCATTCCGTCAACCTGTTTTCTCTGATGTCTGCTTTTTAAGGTTTTGTTGATGCATTATTAGTAGATTGTGGCTCCGCTCCTCTGTCTTAGAAAATTTCGGTCCTGCTTTTCCTGTCACACTGTTGTCACTTTTCTTCCATTTTTTTTTTTTTAGTCCAGGAGATGCTCCTGGAGGAGCAGGGCTGCAGCTTACCTGCCACACCTCAGTCCATCTCTGACCTCAAGTCGCTCGCCACCGCTCTGCTGGAGACCATCCATGAGAAGAATCTGGTCATCCAGCACCAGAGGCACACAAACCGGTACAGCGCCTTGCAAATTTTATTTTATTATTTTTAACTCTTCCACATTTGGTCACCTAGTAATCTTGAACTGCAACATTTTACTGGTGCTTATGATATGGTAGACCAACTCGAGATGGAGCATAATATTGAAGTAGAGAGAAACTAGTGCATTTTTAATGTGTTAATAAAAGTTTTATAAATTAAAAAATACTGAAAAGTTTGCCATGCACTTATATTTATTGACTAATCATACTACTTGACACAATCGCTCCAACTCTTTCAGACTGAGAAGAGGGTGTGGAAAAAGATTTTTCAAGTCTTGGTAGAGATTCTCAGTTTTGGTCTGAACTTTGACTAGGCCATTTAATGCACAAATATGCTTTGATCTAAGCAACCCGCAGCTCTGTTTAGCTTGTCTGTCTAGCATGATGCTGCCACCACCATGTTTCACCATCTGGCGGGTGTATTCAAAGCAATATGCAGTGTTAGGTTTCCTCCATTTTATATTAAGGTTAAAAAGTTTTGGTTTCATCTGACCAGGGCATTTTCTTGCATGCGTTTTTGTCTCCTTCTGTATGGTAGTTAGTGAACTTTAAAAATGACTTCTTATTATTTTATTTTTACTATGGCAGAGGTGCTCAAGTCCAGTCCATGAGAGATACTACCCTGCAACTTTTAGATGCATCTTTGCTCCAACACACCTGTCTCAACTGCATGAATTCCCTCATCAGCAGTCATTGTTTTACAACCTAACCTTACTTTAGGTGATTTATTGCATGCACTTGATTTTATGTCTTAGTATTTGCATAAGGGATTCTGCATACAAAGGCACGCCACACTTTTCAGATTCAGTCTTACCATTTTACTTCCAACACCACCACCTGACACACTTCAGTAGTAACTGTTATATGAGCCCTCCTCCTCAAAGACAAACACTTAAGACAGACAAACACAGACTAAGTGTGTGTAGAAACCTTACCTCTTATTTCTGTTCTGCAGGATCCTGGGAAACAGAGTTGCAGATTTGGAGAGGAAGTTAAAAACCTTGGAAGTCTCGGGATTGTGGAGTTTACCAGGTGAGTTAAAAAAAATACATAGGAAATGGATTATACTGTAGTAAATACTGAAAACCTAAAATAATCCCCAGATAGTGAGTGTCAGGAACAACCCAGTTCCACCATTTTTACTGTTGTTACAAGAATGAATGTCTTTGTCAGTTTGGAATTTAGCCCAAATTTGTACATTTTCAAGTGTACTTAATTGTCAATTTCAGGCTCTTTTTGTATCCATTTCTATGTTTACCAAGACAGGCGACACTGAGAACACAGTCGCTCTACCACACCATGAGCAAACACAGCTGTGTGACTGTTCATGTTTATCCTGTGTATTAACCTTTCCTCAACAGATCCGTCACCACTACTGACAGTGGACACACTTTCTTTCACAAAAAAAGAGTAGAAAATAAATATTTTTAAAGGTTATTTATATATTTTTTTCTTTAATATTAGTTTCCCTGACATTTTTTTGTGTGAAAAGTATATATTAGTTAACTCTAAATTCCCCAAAACTCTGCATGCCACACATCTTCTGCTGAGGTGTAAATACATGCATGTCCACTCTTCCTCTATTAACTATAACATATCAATAAGGTTTTGTATTTACAACGTTGTACCTCTCTGTCTCTCCCCTCTGGCTGCGTCTCAGGCTTGACCTACCACGTATCTGTGGGAATTGGGAGTATGTATTCCTTCTGCCCCACTTAGCCCATCCATGCACCCCCTCCTCTGTATGTCATGCCAGAACAAATCTGGGCAGATGCCCAGAAAACATGCCACCTCGTACCCGCCTTTTACCATGTGTCAACTCCATTGACCACCAGCTAGTGTGTTTGTTCATGATACCATCGACGCAACCAGACCACATCATCAACACACACCGTTTGTATTGATCCAGCTGGCCTGGTATAGATGGGGGAGGGAGATGGAAGAAAAGTGCTAGCAAAAGTATTCATGCTTTCAGATTAGTCACAATCCTTTAATATATTTTTGTGGGATTTAATCAGATAGGCAACTCAAAGTAGTTTATATTTGTGTACAGAAAAAGTACATTTAAAAAACATCTTTTTGCAAAAATATGAAAAAAAGTTTAATGTTTACTGTGTGTTGTTCATGGCATGTGGCGAACTAGGAACAATATTTATAATGGCTTTAATTTAGGATATGCTTTCTTGTTGCCACTTCCATGATCAACTGAGAGCCAAATAGCTGATTAATGCTCTCTTTGCCCGACCTGCTAAGTTTGATGGATGGCCATTAAAATAAAACATTTTGGATGGATTTGTACAATTCATAATCAAAGGCATGCCACACTTTTCAGATATTTATCTGTTCATTTAAATTTTTTTAAAATTCTACATTATTTCGACTTGCTCCTGTTGAACCTCTTAAGTGGATCAATGACTGGATGAGTTTCACTTCCACTTAAAAAATATGCAACGTTTTGTGTTGCTCCATCATTTAAAGTGCAATGAGGTTTGTGGTGACAAGAAAAATAAACAAAAAAAAAAGATTAAGGGATATGAAGATTTCTGAAATCCAGTTTATTTCTTATGTTAAGGTTCACCAGAAACTTTATAAAATACAGCTGTAAAGGTTATTTAATATTTAACTCATTATTAACAGTTCATTTACAGATTTAAAGCCTTTTTGTAAACAAAGTAGTACCATTATATTCAGCTGAAGTAAAAAAAAAAAAAACTTAAAGAAAAAAATCCTTTAGGATCCAGAAGTAAGAATGTAGAACTGAAAGTCAATCTTCAAGCTGTTTAATTCCTTTAAACAAAAAATGTTGTGTATTATGTAAAGTAACATTCTTACTCGAATGGTCTGAGTAAATCCAAGTGACCAACCCTCTTCACAAGAAAAGCACTTCCTCCTTTTTGCCACCGGAGGGCGATGTTACACTATCTACCAAGCAGTGTGAAAGGTGGAGGGGCTGTGGCTGGCTGGAGGTGCGCTGTCATGAGACCGTCATTCTCTTCGCCATAAAACTGACAAGCATCCATTACTGAAAATGATTGCCCACATTACAAACACATTTAGGGGAATGTGCCGTTATTAGGGAATTTGTAGGCGAGGGCCCAGAGTGCCTGATGAGCACGCTGTCCACCACAGTTAGGGAGACAAGGATATAGAGAAAGAGAGGCGAGTGTCTGTGGCCTTGATGTGATAGGACGTCGGGCTGATGGATATTAGAGCCAAACAGGATAGGATGGAGGGCCTTGGCTGCCTACCTGAAGCCCGGAGAACACGGAAAGCGACTACATTGTCTACGGATGAGAGAGGGCAGAAAACAATAACAATCACATCGATGTAGTGAGTTAGATGAAGTTGAGATTGATGGGCTCTCGCAGTCCGCCCTAACTTCATGCTAAATAAGTGCAAGCTGAACTGTAACGCTGCAAATGGAAGCCTTGAAGGGTGCGTCAGGCTACAGACTGCACCTTCAAAGCTTTATTTTATCCTACTGACAGACTTCAGCTGCTTAAGTGACTCATTTTAACTGAAAAAGATGTTTCACAGCTACAAAGGACTGCGTTCCAGACTACCTAAATGAGCTCATTTATCTTTCTTTGGTTTTCAGTATTTTATTATAAATATGGCTTTTTGAGGTTTCACATTATTATAACATTTCTTTATTGCTGGATAAAGGGATGAGTAAGGACTGAATTTGAAAATTTTTGGACAGATAAAACTAATTTTCCTGCCTCCTCTGGACACGGTTTAGTCTAGGTTACATGTGGAGCAGATAGTATCTTCCTGTGATGCTCTCTTAACACCTGCCAAAAACATTTGGATGCATCCTGGCACAACAGACCATCAACTAGACTTGCACTACTTTGTTAAAACCAGCTTAAAGACCTTAAGAGGTCTTCCAGGGTGCATCAAGAAGGCGTTGCACCCACCATTACAGGTGATGGAGGTTGCTGTTTTGAGCATTAATGGTATGGCATTATCGTCAATAACTGTTTTGAGAAACAGATATTCAACTTACTTTTTATTTGTAGGCATTAATGAGTAAAAATGTCTAGATCTAGAAAATTTCTGCTTGATTTTAAAGACAAATATTTACCATTAGGGCATTTTCTGTCTCTATTGACTGTTTTCACCAGCAAAATATACAAAGGAATCAATTTATAAGTTTTTTTTATTATTTCAAGTCATTTTAGATTTGGTGAATCTTTACCCATTATGCTTTGTCAGACTAGTGAGAATAATTGTGAAAAAGACTATCAATTGGGATAAATCACTTTTGAATAATTGCTGGGTTTTTTAAATGAGGAAGCCTTTAGTGTTCATCCATATTGCATTCTGCAGTAAAACAGATCCAGTGTTTTCTCACCATTGTTGGCAATTTGCAGTTTTGTCCTATAAGATGTCACTTTAAAGGTCACATTTTGCCTTTTGGGTTTCTTTTTCTTTCCTTCTTGTTACAAAAAAACTTCCCAAAACCCTGAGTTAATGGTGTTATTCTCTCCCTACGAAAACGGAGCAGCTGAGCCGCCTTGTTTTGTGGCCCAGGCTTTTCTTCCGTTATTTGTTTACATCAACATGCAACAGATTTGCATAATGCCTGCCTTCTGGCTATGTTGGCACAACTCAAACAAAGAAAAAAAAGTTGCCCTTCATCATTTTTAACCAATCTGAACAGAGTTTTTGGAATTGGGGCCAAGAAAAACACATCTTGTAGTTTTTTTTTTTTTTTTGCCATACTGTGACAAGCAGTTCTGTAATAATAGAAGAGTGGAGAATAACTAAGTTTTCTTTATTGTTTTTTTATAATACTAAAAATTTATACAAACTTCTTTGAGTAGAGCCTTAATTAGAAACTGGCATGACACGAATCGGTTTTCTATAATCCTTCCATCAACTCTTACCAGCTTTCCTTTCAAGCCTGGGGAAAATGACCCCCCCCCAGAGTATGACTCTGCCACCACCATGTTTCATCCTGGGGGTTTTCAGGGCGATGTGGACGTTGAAACGTTTTAATCTCGGACACAATTTCAGTACACATGATCTCACTCACTGTTTCGATATCACATTACAACATGCACTCATAACAATGTTCCCTGTTCACCACTCTTATTTCCCATGCATCATCACTCCATTGTTGCATCTGGTTTTTGACTTCTTCTTTTTTTTTTTTTCCTCACAGTAGAACTAGTCTGACTTTTACCAGCTTGTAGTTTCTGTAAAAGAACTACACACATGCACACTTCTGCGCTTGTGTTTATGTGCGCATACAAGGGTGTTTATATTTATAACGTCTGGATTATGGTGTACAGTCTCTTTCGAGGAGCATATGGTGTCAGCCTAAAAGGCGTGCAGCCATCACTAATGAAGACGGATGACAGGGAGCTGAATCCTCTTTCTGTGAGCGCTGCACTGCATACGTGAGTGCATGTTTGTATGATGTGTGGTTAAGGGGGAGGTGGGAAAAGTCTTAAATGTGCTTCATCCATTCCATAATGTCTTAAAAGTTACTACCGGCTTAGTGTTTTTTTTTGTTTTTTTTTCTGTCGTCGTGTTGGATGTGAGAGTAACTGAGGTCGGCGGCGTTTCTGTCGTCTTACAGGAACCAGGGACAATATGGCACTAAATGAAAATCTCCAGCCAGAGCTTCATCCAACGTGTGCCACGTCTTTGCCAAACACGCAGCCCCTCAAAGGTGAGTCTGTAACTGTGTGTAGCTTCTTCTTACTGATGAGAATCCCCATCCCTGCCATTAACACAGCAATTAGCCACCATGTGGAGAAACGCTCCTTTCCGTCTCCCGTGTTTAACCCGAGTCCTTCCCCTTCCCGCCTCTGCTCCTCTCAGCCTCTTATTGGTGCAAGCTGCCCAAATGCCATGGCATTTTGGAAATGTGAAGCGAATTCTCGCCCACTGACATTCAGAAACTTCTGCCATGTTCTCTTTTAAGAGAGGGTGGAGAGGATGCCATAAATATGGATGCCACTTCCAGTAATGTTGCTGGGGTTTTTTGTTTTTTTTTCCTCTCTTCTCGCTGTTTTGGCCTCTGAGAGTGTGTATAAAAATGTGGCTGGGACTGTGCGTGCAGTCTTTAACCTTTTTGCCTGAACATCCACAAATATGGGTCAGTGAGCCCCTAAGAGAGGGATTTTCGGGGACGAGGCAGAACTAAGCTGTTGCTATTACTCAGACGGAGGCGTCATACTTGTTTCAGCTCCACCTGTCTGGGGCACTGCTGCTAAATTTAGCCTGATTCAGTCACATGCAGCGTTTGACATATTTACTTATTCCTACCGTGGAACTTGTTCACATTTTGTCACATAGCAATCACAAACTTCAGTGCATCTTAGGGGAGTTTTGTGTGATAGGCAAATGCAAAGTAGTAATTAGGAAGGTAAAATGCTTGGTTTTTAAGAAAATATATAATAAATAATGTAAACCTAGAAACACAGCAAACTAGTCAGGGAGAAAGTTGAGCAGATGTTTAACAGCATTAGGTTATAAAATGATTCCTTAAGCTAAACAAAATATCCCATAAATATAAATGCAGGCCCCACTTTTTAGAGCATTATTGGTTAAAAATCACCAATTCTTTTGCTTCTACTTGCCCTCTACAATAATTTACTACTTTGTCAGTGTATCCCATAAGAGCTCAATAAAATTCCCATATTTTTGTGACTGACATGTCAAAAAAATCTGGAAAAGTTCAAGTGTTGGTGAATACTTTTGTCAGGCATCATATGAAACTCAGTTTTAAACAAGTAACAGTGATACATTGACAATTTTTCTTATTTTGTTGTGTTTAGCACATCATGGACTTGGTTTTTGAAAGTAAAAATGTGTTGTAGAACTAAACTCTAGTTACAGATGTAAAGAGAATTTGAAAAGATGCGGTAAAACGTTGTTGTTTTGATGTGCGGTGCCGTTTGTTTTAATGCGTAGATGATCTCCCCCGTGAACACCATCAGGGCAAATTGAAGCAAAAGTGTTTGCTTTCTGATCTTGGCTTTGGCTGCAGCTCAAGTGAGCAATTACAATGACCAATCACCTCAATTTTTTTCCTTCTCTCCTCTTCTGTCAGATGACAGAAGTTCACATGAATCATCTTGGGAATGCCGCACCGCTGGCAGTGACCTTGGCACAGATGGCGCCGGCAGGGAAGACGCACCTGCACTGCTCAGCGGCGCGGATCCTTTCGCGGGCATGGAGACGGATGGGATTGACGGGAGAGAGGGAGAAATCGTGACCCTGAGAGACGATCCGGAGCCGGAGGATGAACGGAGTCCGGTGGAGGAGGCAGGGCGCGAAGAGGAGGGAGCCGAGGACGAGGAGCTGGGCTCCTCTGTGGAGGAAGGGGAAGAAGCCGCTCTGGCACTGGATCTCCGTCTGACCGAGTCGAAGCTTCAGTGGCTTTCCATCGCACAGACTTCTGTCAGATATTCAGAGGTTTCCTGCCAGGACAGGGAGTCTAACGATGCACTTGAACACGAAGAAGCCTCGGCATCGATTCCAAAGAGTCAGGCCACAGAGGGACAGAGTAACACTGAGTGGGACATTCACTGTCCATCTGCACCTGGCATGATCTAACGTCACGAAAAGATGGGGGGAAAACTTCTCTAAGTCCTTGTCGTCGTTATTGATGATTACATTAATCATCCCTAGTTGGATTCCCACTGCTTAGCCTCTGCTCATTAACTTCCTTCCACACTGAGCAGCTCGCTTTCAGTCAATAAAACAGAGAAAACACTTTTCTTCCCTCCCCCCCAGATGCTGCTGACAAAGCCAGAGGTGCACTCTGCATCTAGACTAGCTTCTGTTGCGCTAAAGCAAAAAAAAATCTTTCAAACAGTAGAGCTGCAAACTCGATGCCCTGCAGAAAAACTAACAAGTGATCAGCTTGTGTATCCTATATTCTCTTGTTGCGTTTCCCCGTGAGGAGATAATCCCAGTTGTTTGCTTTATTTTTCTATCAAAGCTAAGGAATGCCAATAAAAGTGCTGCATTTTTGGAGGGGATCACTTCCAAAAGTGATCTCAAATTGGTGAAGTGCCAAAATTTGAATTATATGTGTGATGGATACTTTTGAATTCATTGTTTCACCTTAATACTGTTAATATTTGTTTGTCTAAATCTTGCCTATTTTTTGATGTATTTGGATGTGCCTTATGTGTCAAAAATATTTAATATTTATAAATGGAAATTCATAAAAAGCTGCCATATTGTTTGGTTGTATTCATTTGCAGTACAGAAAGTTGGGATCTATTTGTTCTGTTGTTTTTGTTTCCTTATTTAAAAAAAAAAAAAAACATTAATCTCCAGCCAAACGTACTTTAAACAATAACATGGAGGAAGAACATCCTTTGAAACCCACAGGTTGTTACTGCACACAGCCCAGTATTCACTAACGACCCATTACAAAAGTAATTTAATTTCAAAGAGGTACTATGATTAATATAAACATTCAAAATATATTCTCATAAAAGAAAGATAAAAGTTTGGTCATGAGGCATTTTTAAAAAAAGAAAACCTGTTTGAAAGCTTAAAAAACATGAAAGCCACAGTGAAGGCAACATCATGCTGTAGGGATTGTGTTCTTGGAACTTGAGTGTGACCGTTTGACCTTCCTGTTCTTCATTTTTCAGATTTTTTTTTTTTTAGTTCGACATGTAAATGCATTAAAATATTAACTTTACTTTTTTTCCTTTTTAAACATTTTACAAGGGTCATCAATAATTGTGCAGAGCGCTAAAGCTGAGGTCCAAATTGCTCTTCGAAACCCAAAAGCTTAAGCTTTTTTAATAAACATTTAATTTAATTGACTCTTAGCCTTGAGAGGAAGATGTTTTCTTCTTTCAATTCTCTCTTTTGAATGAATAAATCGCACACTTCATGTAGGACGTCAGTTTTATCGCGTTTTAAACTTAAACGTGCAGTAGAGCTTCTTCAGAACAGCAGAAGTTTTCCTGTCGAGAAAAAAGTTGAATCCGTAAACACACCCGGGTCGTCTCGTGGCCAAAGTCCAGAGCGCAGTGTGTTTTGGGAAATCAGCAGCGAGTCCCACTCCCACATGCAGGTGACAGCTGGCCTCTCCAGGCAAACGCAGCATCAAACCCAGAATGCATGAACTGCTTATTCTGCAGGAGGCCGCTTGCTATTTTTAATCACTAATATAAAATAGAGCCGAGGAAAAAGAGGGAATTCAGCTTTGGAGTGGGGTGGAGATGAGTGGGGGGGAATAGGGGGAGCGTAGCACGTACACAGCATGGGACCTGTGCCATGCAGATGATTTGGCAAACTGCACCAAGGCTTTTTAATTTTTTTTTATTTTATTTTGTTCCAGCTTTAAGTCTGTCACCCAGATGGGAGCTGAACTAATAAATTTAGATGATAGCAGCTTGCCTTTAAATTTCTCCAAAGCAATTGCCTAGTTTTTGATTGTTTGCATGCATATAAATGATAGGAGGAACCCAGTTAGCTGGAAAATACATTTTTAGCAAACTACATGGCCTGATGCAGTGAATGTGTGATTGTGGATTTTGGCCAAATATCGGCGCTTTTGTCAAGTTAGGTGAACCTGCACCGAGGAACGTAGAATAGTCTGTTACATCTTGCCTGTGGTGTGGAAAATTTCAGCTCCTTCAAAATGTATAACAGAATCTGACTAAAATCTTTTTGAAGAATTGCTTCACTGGAGGACAAATGTCAACAGTAGTATCTACCAAGGTATTTCAGTCCAAAGATGCTTAGATTATATTTCCTCTGGGAGGTTTGCAAACACTAATATGCATAAGTGTGTGGCTGAGTTTGAGATTTCCCTCTGATTTAATATAGCTTCTCCTTAATTCGTACTTGTTTGTAATTGGACACGCATACATTTATCCAAATTGATGTTTGGATAAATGTGCCTCAGCAAGTTTCCCTTGGCGCAGCCATCAACTAGCCGCTGGCGTAATTCAGCCACTGTTTTAAAGATAAGCAAACAAAACTGAACACCTATCTAAAAGAAAGAAATCAAAAGCACAAGTGATGGGGATAGATGAAGGAATGAACTATCACTACTACTATGCGCTGATTTGTGTTGGTTTATAACTTACAATGCAAATAAAATACAATGAAGTTTGTGATGTTTCAAAATGTATACATACAAAAAAAAAGTCTGAGTATGAATACTTTTGAAAGGCATTGTGGTTAAAGAGTTGACGTAATGTCATGTGTTTCTCGTGTATAGTTCAGCTTTGTCACTTTAAAAAATGTCGGGTGCTACCAGTCCCTCAAAACCTACACATCACATCTTTATAAAAAAAAATCCTATTTTTCTGTTTGGTTCTAAAAGGCCTGACTGACGGAGGGCGGCGAGCGTGGCCATTTTTATTTTGGCTTGGTGGTATGTCGCTTTAAAGAGCCAAGTAGTGTGAGGTTTCTTGCCAGACGGCAGACTCAGTCGAGAGTTACGGTGCTTACAACACTCTCGAGTTACAATAGTCTCTTCGTTTGGTTATTTCTAAGATTTATTGAACTTTATTTCTGTTCTCTGAAATACTAAATCTGAACGCATCTTGCAGTAAGTTACTATCCTTACTACTTTGACAACCAGCAGCAGAAAATTCATCCTAAATATTCCGATCTCTGAAATGAGACCAGTTTAACCCTGAAAGTCTCCTGCTGGAAATAGGCTGAGGCATCTGGAGCCGGTGTCCCATCACTGATGTCACATCAATAGGTCTTGTCGGCTCTTATCACACTGACCCACCTTCTCCAATCTTAATAGCGATCTGACCGTACGGCACGGACATGCGCTGACCTCCAGCGTGGCCTCTCAGCTTATCGGCCGGCCACAAGCTCTTGCGTCCACCAGCGAACCCCGGCATGGGATGGATGTCCTGCGGCTGCAGTCAGATTTAGTTTTGGCAACAGGAAGTGTGGCAACCGGTCGATTGCGACAAGGAGTAAAGAGCCAGAAACACTGAGACAAAAAAAAAAAAAATGTAATTTATGATAAGTAATATCTGATTCTCGTGTTTGTTCCCTAAATGCTTGGGTATCTGATTAAGACTATTTTTGAAACTGTAAAAGAGTAAAATTTTACTGTCATGTCATTACATGACAATAACAAAATAGGGTGTGGTGTAATGTGGGTGTTGGGCAAAGGGTGGGACACTGAATTGAAGTCCTGCTACAGATAATCAACTGGATTTAAATCTGGACCTGGACTGCAGTATTTTAACACATGCACATTCTTTCCATCTTATTGCATATACGACTGTAAGCAGTGTTGTTGTCCTGCAAAAAGATAAGCCTTCATCCCAGCCTTTTGGAGCCTCTGATAGGTGTCTTCTTCACCAACTGCCCTGTATTTAGCTTCTTCCATTCGCCTCACCTTGTGTGGTTTAGAACAAATGTGAGAACTGTAGGCCTGATAAGAAGTTAAATATTAAATCAGCTTCAGCATCAGAAAAAAAGACTGGAGAGAAAGAAAATCACGGGCGACTAAAAAACCGTCAGGAAATAGTAACGGTTTCTGACGCCTCGTGAGCCGTTGCACTGCTCATCCCCCCTCCGTAGATCAGATTTCCATGTTCTTAACAGATGCAAGCTTTCAAACGGTCAAAAATAGAACAAAATAACACACTTTTAGCTTCGCTGTCTGATTAGTTTTTTTCTCCTTTTCTTTTTAAAACTGCAGTTTGCATTCATGTGATTAGTGCCTAATCCATTCGCTTACTGCGAGTTCTGCCTGCCACAGCTATTTCACAGATAATTGGAGATGCATTTAACAGCCTGTGACAAAGAGGCAGACTTCCAAGGTGGGAAATTCGCAGCATCCTAAAATATCCTGAATATTGGAGCATGATGACTTTGTTGTGACTCTCACTTCTTCTTAATCATCCCCATCAATCTCCCAACAATAGGAAATGAACTGCTTATTCACGTTTATTCAGCCCGTGAGCAGTGTCTGCGCTGTGTAATTATCTGTGTCAATAGCAATGATTGTTTGTTTTGACAGGTTGTTCTTCATTTTATAATTTTGGACACTGGATGTAGGATTTGAAGCTCTTGAAGGCCATGTTTAAAAATAAATAAATTAAAAAATGACATCAAAAAGTTAGTGGAGCTGCTTGAAAATATTTATTTTCCAAAAATTCAGCACATGGAAAACATTAAGTATGACAAACAAAGTATGCAAATGTCACCGCTAATATTAAGTTCAATTAATGTGTTCTCTACCTCTCAGAAGTTTAAAGAAACAGCTTGAATAAATCAATATTTATCCAATATATGCAATTGAAACCAGCTGCATGTAGTGAGTACTGGTGAGCGCACATGGAACAGCACTGGGCAGAAGAGAACTTCAGCCAGTAAAAGTTTGAACTGATCAGGTTGGAGTGCGACTACACTTTTCTGTATCTTTAGCCGTGTGTGTGTGTGTGTCTGCTGATTATGAGCTGCGTCATCCTGACTTCCAGGTGGCCCAAGGCATGCGTGAAGGAAAAGGCTACTTAGAGCCTTTAGACCAGCAGACGGCCCACAGAAATGTTTGAATTCTCACTCATTATAAAGATCTCAAAACATTGTTTATTTATTAAGAAATTCTCTTTAACCATTTCCAAACAGTGAATGAAAAACGCATATATTTAAATGTACATTTATATATATATATATTTAGACAACTTGATAAATATGCTAGTTGTGAACACAAAGAAACATCTTAGTTTGACAGTTTTTTTCTAACAGTCGATGAAGTTTATTAATCTGTGCTGATTGGGTCCCTTTTTTACACACTGTAACTGTCTGCAAAGCTCAACAAATGTATTGCGTTTGCTTTAAAAATAACCCTTCACACTTGACATATTATTATAGAGCAAAACTGAGGCAACCAGCTTCTTATGGTATTCCTGAATTGCCTGAAGAACACCAAAATAAGACAAATAAGCATTTTCCAAAATGCTGATTCAATCTAAACACTCTTATCCCTTGTTTCTGATTTATTAAATAATGTAAAGTCACTGACATGATTGTCAGGGAAAACACATATGCTAAATGGCCTGTACTTATGAAGTGCTTTATCAAGTCCAGAGGACTTGAAAGTGCTTCACACTACATTCTGTTGTGCACCCATTCACATTGTTGCCAGGTCTGTCTGACAGAAATGAGGTTTCCATGCATATCTGACCTCTGAAGTGTTTTGCCCAAGAACACAACAACAGACAGGAAACTCGAACCAGAATCCCATTGGTCACTAGACAGATTCTTACCACTGTTGCCTCCTTCACCCTATTGTCTCTTTAAGTTATTTACAATTGGTTGCCCAGATAACTATAAACAATTGCAGCATTGCTGTGGGACTCAAAATGAATTCAACTTAATCCGAAGTCATTGTATTCTGCAAAGACTGTGGTTAGAAGATGTGAATAAAACAACAAATTAAACTTTTATTCAATGGAAAAAAATAAACCAGCTCAGCAAATGTTAAAGAGTTGGCCACTGCAGTATTTTTTGAGTGTTTCTGTTGAGATAAAAAAGTAATTTACTTGTACAACAAGAAAAAAAACATCAAATTCTTTCTTTGCTTGGTTGCTTTATAATAAATACCTTTTACGGGGGGCCTAACCCTGCTCAAGGCCTCCTCAAGCCTTGGGTCGCCTATGCTGACTCCGCTGTAGTCACAGCCCTCCTGCATCATCTGTATCCTCCTCCGCATCCAGCTGCTGTGGAGCATCTGCTTTGACCTAGACTTTCAAAGCAGTCATCCCTCATTGAATTTAATACGTCTGGAATTTTTTTTACAGTGATTTTCAGAGAGAATAGCAGCTTTCTGGTTTATTTTCTTGATCATCGGGAATAATTATGAGGTAGGAGTTTCCGGTTGCCGTGTTAGCCGGGGTTTAAGCGTTTGGTCAAACTCTAAATGGATTGATTCGCTATTATTTTGGACAAAAACAAATCTCAGCATGTGCATACCTCATTTTTTAGCATTAGAGTACGATTATTCTTCAAGTTAAAATATGTAATTTTTTGTTATATGTTCCTCTAGCCTTTTAGCTTAAGCGTTAAACTACTGGGATTGATTGCAGCTTGTTATTGTTGTTGTAAGCTAACACTGTCAGTGTTTCACAGATAAACATGAAGTTACAGCGAGCTGGAAAAATTACAGGCTTTAGTAATTCGGGTAAATGTCAGCAAGGCGCTCAAGGTAGCTTGCAGTGTTTAGAAAATAGAAAATAGAATAGAAAATACACTAATGAAGTATTTTGCCAGTAGTGTTAGCATGCTAGGCTAGCTAAAGCTAAAGTAGAAAGGTCATTCTGGAACAGACTTCCCATGTTTTAATAAATGCATGACCCTTTTTTCCTCACAGTATCCATAGGCACCTTGCTAGCTATCCATTTTTATTTAAGAATTTCAGAAAAAATGTTAAGTGTTTAGCCATTTTAAAAATATTTTCTGAACAGTGTTTGTATTGCCTCTAAACTGAACTCAGGGCCAACGTTTTGCTTCCTTTTTTAGAGGAAAATATTTTTGGGGAAACGCTGCTTTTAGAGAGTATCCATGAGACACATTTCCAATGAGTCTTAGCAGCTCTCCTTGGAAGAGTTGTGGGATTTTCTTATAGTGTCTTTTTTTTATATTTGTGTTGATTGGAGAGTGTAACTTTGTTCCAAGTACAGTGTTTCTTCATTATGTGGATACATTCTCATGTTTTAGAACAGAGGTGGGCAATCCTGGTCCAACACACCTGAATCCAACAGCTGAATCACCTCCTAAGTGCAGTCAAGTTCTCCAGAGTCCTGCTAACGACCTCATTATTTGACCCAGGTGTGTTGAAGTAGAGAGACATCTAAAAGTTGCAGTAGACCGGCCCTCGAGGCCTGGAGTTGTCCACCTCTGTTTTAGAATGACCCTCAGTGACCATACCTGATTGAAACCAGAATCGGTTGTTCGAAGTGCAAACTGATTACCGTTTGCGGACCTTTTGATGATTTTGTGCTGCAGTTTACAAATGGTAGCAATTTGGCCCACCAACACAGATTGATGTTTTAAAAATTTATAGTTTGAGTTTTGGTGATGAATTACGTTCTTTGAAGAATGGAAACTGTTTGGTTACGACATGCTTTACTTCTATTGTAATGCCATCAATTATAGGGCCACCAAAGGTCCACTGACTAAACTTGGCCAAATAGAGCAAGAGTATTTTAATATAAGAGTGACTCATATCCCATTCTTGTGTAGGATAGAAGAAATAACCCCAAGAGAATAGAAAAAAAACAATCAAACCCACCAATAATATAAAACTGTGTAATAAAAGAAGCATTTTAATGAGAAAGTAGTGTTTGGCCTTTTTTTGTTTTACATCTACAATGATTTACATATTCACCAGGCTAATTTCTCCGAAAATAGTGCATGCTAAGCTTATTTTTGAACAGATAAAAATGACAAACACCATTATTTTTGATGTTTCCCTGGTTCACCACACTCGAATTAAGAAATTGGTCATTTGCAGGTTCCTGCAGAACTTGAGATGCTGAAGAGGTAATGCAATAATTTTTAAAAGCGTAGAGAATGATCCATAACAAGGGTCTTTTTACGTAGAGGTTGCATGTTCTTCCTGTACATGCTCGGGTTCTTTCTGGGTACTCCAGCTTCCTTCTGCTGTCCAAAAACACGACTGTTAGGTCGCCCTGCAAGGATAAGTGGGTATGGACGGATTTATCATGACTTGATACATGTAAAAAAATTCCCCCTTCCAGAGAAAAACTGTTACCTTTACGAACAACAAAAATGTGAATAGCGCGTCAATAACTGACCAATAAGTATTAATTTGAAGAAGTGAAGGATTTACATTTTAGTTAGAGGTGACCTTTTGCATGCATTGTTTGAACATTCATAACGAGTCTTATCAGTTCTCCTCGGAACAGTTGTGGGATTTTTTTTTTAGTGTTGTAATATAAAAGCGACACAAAACACTTAATAGCTTTTTCGACAATGTAAAAGTTTCAAATTTGTGCGCTGAAGCTGATAAATAGGTCTTTTTGTAACGGGAAAAATGCTCCAAGCAATTAGTTTATTCATGACCTTTGCATGCTATACTTGATTAGACATCTATTTGCCAGTGTGAAAAAGAATGTGCAGTAACCTTTTCATAGTATTTTTTACAAAAGAAGAGCTTGACATGGTTAACATTTGTCCACAGGTTTTCTTTTTTTTTTTTTTTTTTTTTTCTCACCGTTGGCCTAAATGGAAGCTGAAGTGTTTCCTTTCGACTGCGGTGTTTTATTAAATCCTAACTTCATTCTCCTTCCTGTTCAAGGCGCGACAGAGACCGTGATCGTGACAGGAACCGGGATCGGACCGGCAACAGGGGCCAAGACGCGATGTCGGGCGGTGACCCCGTCGCCTCGGCCGCAGCCAGCTGGAGTTTCGCGAATCGACCTCCCGTTCAGCAGCAGACGAACCCCTTCACCAACCTGCCCCACACGCCGCGCTACCATGAGATCCTACAGAAGCGGCTGCGGCTCCCGGTCTGGGAGTACAGAGACGTCTTTACGGACATCCTGATGCGGAACCAGTCGTTCGTGCTGGTCGGAGAGACGGGCTCTGGAAAAACCACGCAGGTAGAGGCAGGGGGACACGCTAAAGTTTTTGAAACGCAGCAGCCATCAGTTGCCCTCCTGCCCCCGTACACCAGACTTTTAATGAACTGACCCAAGTATGTCACAGTAAATTTAGAGCCTGACTCTGGGCAGTTAAAATTGCTTTAAGGTTATGATAAAAAGATATTGATACCATGAATGATTCATGTATTTTCATTGGGTTGTTTTACGATTTGATTCCCAGTTAGCTAAACTTACCAGTTAAATCTTAAGTGGTTTAAGCAAGCAGCCAGGCTGTGTGTGTGTGTTTTTTTTTTTTCTTTTTTTAAATTTGCAGGAAAAGATTAGAGTAAGTCACTGAGTCTCTGCCTCATCCTGAGATGAATATAAACGATCCTGCAAAGTGGAGTGGTTTAAGTGTGTCGATGCGTTCTGCACTGATGATGCTTAAAAATCTGTGCTGTGAATATCTGGGTACGTTTTATGCAGTTTACTGATGCATGAAAGTTGGGGAAATTAACTTTTTTTTTTCTACCCCCCACCCAAATACAAATACTTACTTAGATAGATTGGAAAAAAGAAATTGGATTTATTGCATTCTTTTGATTTTACTTTTTAGTGGCCTACCTGCTACTTAAGTCAATAAAATTTTAAAACGTATTTATATCTAAAATCCCAGTTGTAAAAATAAAGAAAAAGATTAAGCAAGAACTCAGCTCAACTGGAATCGCTATGCATTTTCTTGTTGAAAAAGATCAACTTTAATTTTTTGGGCAAAGAATAAAAACATTTTTTCATGTAATTTGTAGTTCTCAAAACGAAATTAGAATGGAAAACTGTGAAACTCCCAGTAATGACATTAGAATCTTCCTTTTCAAAACAATATGTGCATTTAAACCATTGATATATGTTGCAAAAAATATATATGTATATATAGGTGTTCAGTGGTACATTACTCTGTTGATTAACAAAATCAAACTTTTCTCCTGTCCTGCAGATCCCACAGTGGTGTGTAGACATGGTGCGTTCGCTGCAGGGGCCGAGGAGAGCGGTGGCCTGCACCCAGCCCAGGAGGGTGGCGGCAATGAGCGTCGCCCAGAGGGTGTCTGATGAGATGGATGTGGTGCTGGGTCAAGAGGTGGGCTACTCCATCAGGTTTGAGGACTGCAGCTCTGCCAAAACTGTGTTAAAGTAAGTAGCTATTACATAAAAATTTCACCAGGGCATTAAAATATGGCTGCTTTTGATGACGACGACGATTTTTATGGTGACTAACTTATTAAGTAACGGATTGTTCTAAACTTTAATTATGAGCTGGCTTTGTTTTTAAAATTGGTAGGTCTAAGGTAGCGTTAACTATAAATAGGTCTGAAATCTCTCTGTTTTGTTTCCCTATTTTAAGCAGGTTTTACCAGATATTGTAGCCGTAGATGATGATAAAGAATCAGTGTACTGCATAGTTAGTGTTGGCACCGTATCCTCTTCTCGCTCAGGTACATGACAGATGGAATGTTGCTGCGGGAGGCTATGAACGATCCCCTGCTGGAGCGTTATGGTGTCATCATTCTGGACGAGGCCCACGAACGCACATTAGCCACCGACATCCTCATGGGGGTTCTCAAGGAAGTAGTGCGCCAGAGGTCTGACCTCAAGGTAGGAACCAGCTCACAGAAATCTCCTGAGTTTTCCCTTTACTCTCTGTTTTATTTTTAGGATGTAATTTCAGGATCAGGTGCTGCAGTTGTTGGGTTTTTTTTGTTTTGTTTGTTTTTTTTACGGCTTGCAGATTTATTTTACAGACGTAACCTTTTGGTTTCCTGCAAATATTATGAGTTTATCTCTCGTAAAACTACATTTCAGCCCTAAATATTAATTCCCCTCCAAGGATGAATTCAAAGAAGGAGAGGATTTATTTCTCGCCTCTGTCCCTTTTTTCTTGTTGTTGCGTTTTTCTGACCGAGTCTCCATGTTGTGGAAAGAGAAATGCTGCTGTTAGACTCAGGGACACCCATTTTTTTCTGCACCGCAGTAGCAGCACAGATCGCTCCTAGACTCGCCTACCGTTTTCAGCCGGTCAACCAGGAGGAAAACGGCAACCGTCGGCATCAATGGGACGATCGTAAAGGCAGGCAGAAGTTTTATGGCCTAGCGTGTGCCAGATATAATTTTCATAAAGCAGATGGATAATGACTAGTTGTTTGTCAGAGTGAAATCAAAGGTTAGATTGTTGTTCGCAGACTGTTAAATGAGCTCTAGGTTATTGGGAATGATCATCCACCCACTCCCCTTATCTCCTTCATCCCTATCGCTCACCAAATTTGAAAGTTTAATTTGCCTTGATTAAGAGCAATTAGGATCTCTTGCAGAGCGTAAAGCGAAATGCAGAGACGCTGGCCCCTGAAAATATTAGAGATTGAAAATGGGAGACGTGTTTCCCCATCAGAATCCTAATGCACACAGTCTAATGGCTTGTGTTTAAGAACACCGTGTACCTAGCAACAGGAACAGGGTCTGCCATAGATCTTTGCAGGTCAGTTACTTGGATTGCAATGCCGAAGTGTACATTACGGACTCTGTATTCGGTTTGTGCCAAGGTTCTCTTTTAAAATTAAAATTTGTTGCATCATTCATGCCGCAGAAGGACGCAGACACATTAATCATGACTTTAATTCCACCCTTGTCTTCTTTAGAACTTGTCTTAATGCATAATTAGCAAGACAACAACAAAAAAAACCCATTTCCTCATGAATGCTCGGACCCGTTATTGCACAAACTCGTGCCCCTCGCCGACAAGCTGCCGCGTCCCGTTTTCTGCCCAGGTCATCGTCATGAGCGCAACGCTGGACGCCGGGAAGTTCCAAGTGTACTTTGACAACTGCCCGCTGCTAACCATCCCCGGACGCACGCACCCCGTGGAGATCTTCTACACACCGGAGCCCGAGCGAGACTACCTGGAGGCGGCCATCCGCACCGTGATCCAGATCCACATGTGCGAGGAAGAAGAGGGCGACGTTCTGCTCTTCCTCACTGGACAGGAGGTACCTCCCGCAGACAATATCGGGGGGGAAAAAAAAAAAAAAAAAAAGTTTTAGGGTTTGGGGGGTTCCTGGAAAAATTCCAATTTTTTTTTT